CTTCACGGGATCATGCGCTTAACGGCTTGGGGGTGGTTTCAATTCATTCACGTTGGCTGCATCCAGACATCTACTCAAACCGTTTCAGCTAATGTACCGCCATTTCACGCCCTCCCATCCCTCTCTCCTCCGAACTCGGACTCCATAACCCTCGCCATCATCGACGGGTTTAACGGCGGCTCCAGTCATCGAACATCCCGCTGCTTCGGGAACCTTGGTCGTCGGTTCCATGTTCCCGTCCAATGGCACAACATCGAATCCAAGCAACAGAGACGCCACGAAGCCGAGATTCTCTGCAAACGCAAAGTTGCGTCCAGGGCACAGATGTCTCCCGCCGCCAAAGGGTATGAAGGCCGCCCGCTTCAGCTTCTCCGTCTCGGCATGTTCCTTCCCAGTCTTGACGATGAATCTATCTGGATCAAACGACTCCTGGTCCTTTCCCCAAGCTTTCTCTAAGCTGTGGCTGACTTGGGATGACATCTGCACGTTGCACCCCTTCTTGAGGAGATACGATTTCCCACTACCATCCGATATCGTCGTATCCTCCAGCACGCGTCGGTTGCCCATTCCCTTACTTGAGACGCGAATCGCCTCGCGGTAGCAGCGCACAAGCAAGGGACAACGGTCGTCAAGGGTGCCAATGTCAAGCGTGACCTCTCCGTTACCACCATGTTGCGCCACCGGCAAGAGTTCATCCCTCAGACGTGCCACCAGCTCGGGACGGCTAAAGACGTGCACCATAAACCAGAACAACGTCGGAATAGTGTTGGAGGTGGCCACGTGCAGCAGCGCAACCTCGAATATTCCCACTTCCTTGCCCGGGATGCCGTGTTTTCGCAAAACGTTGGCGCGGTTCCTGACGATCTGCGATGCATCCTTGTGCGAATCCCCATCGCTTCCGTAGTACTCGCCCAACGCCGCTTGAAGCCGTGCTCTCGCTTTGAAACATCTGCGTGCCGTGATGGACGGCGCGATGCCCAGCATCAGCACCGGTAGGTCCGATTCGAAAATCCTGTACTTGTATGAGGCCACTTGATCGTTACACAAAGTGTACGAGATACAACTCACCAGGTATCCTTCATCAAGCTTGCATCCTTTCTCAGCGGATTTCCGGGCCCGTACAGGGCCTCGGTAGTCGCCATAGACATCAGGTTCCGCACCCACATCCAGAAATTAGTCGCTTCGTAAGCTTCGTTCCCTCTGCAAAGATCGTCCAACGCATCAGATACGTATGCGAGAGCGGAGGCGTTCATGCGATGCAGGTTATCTGCCGCCATGCCCACGTGGATACCCTCAAAGAACTCAGGCAACAAGGTACCGTTTTCAATGATCTTGAGCGTCTCGTTGTTGAAGCCCAATTCCCTCTGCGCAAACTCAACTGCGAATGGCTCGAATGAAAGATTACGGTTTCGGTACACGGCTTGGATTAGGATCGGGTCCCAGATGCCGTACATCTTGCCATTCAGGATAGGGAGCGTCGCGATGCCCATGTTCCGGCCTCTGCCTCAGTGTCAGCATCATGTCGCCTGTCTACAACTTTTTCCGGGTGTAGTTGGACCTACTCCAAGACCTTGAAGTACCGGCTCTGGTGCTGGATCATGCCAATCAAGTGTCCAATGACTGGGATCCGAGACTTCATCGCTGGCGGCTCGCGGCTGTCCAGCTCGGGCGACGAGAACTTGTGGACAAAGATCGCAAAGACGAGGAGAATCACTACCGTAGCGTATGAGGAAGTCGACTTTTGCACATCTTCGACTAAGAAGGCGAGGAAGCTCCCTGCTTTGGCTGTACCGTTGCCCGCCATGTTTCCAAGCCCTTGGCCGACTTGACTTGCCATCTTTGTTGGCCGTGGTTGTTGAGTGATGCTACTTTGTGAACACCAGCTTGGTTGTGAATTCACCGGCTACCAGAACTGCAGACCAGCCAGGGTGACTGGGAGGAGAAGCGTCTTAATGGTAGTCTGCTAGAGGGATATCGTCTTTACATATCATCCCAGACAAGCCAGCCCTCAACGTGGCGCACTACCCAGACCTGGGAAAAGATCCAGAAACTAATACCAATTTGGATCCAAGGAACGACATGTTGATCCACCATCCTCTGCGGGCGCGCCTGTCAGAATTTAGCGTGAATCCTCCTCTAGGGCTATCTTTTTCGCGCCCAAAAAGATGTGGACGAGGGGCTTCGTTTGGAGACCGGTTCATCTAGGCCAACTGATGTTCCTTGTGGACTTGAATCATTAGCTCTCCAATCAGGTGGTTGATGATACGTTTGACCGTAAGGGGGGCTTTTCCCAGCTGTTGCCTGATATGCCGCTAGGGTCTGATATCTGGAATGCCGCAACGGGGCGCCGGCTCTTCGGGTGGAGACTTGCCGATGCACCCTCCGGGACTACTACCTTCAGGGTCCGTAGCTTGATTGAATGTGCTCTCCTTGTCTCTTCTGGTTGTTGCGCGAAATTCCATCAAATTGATGATGCTCATTGGCAAGCAAATGAGCTCTGGCGCTGTTTCGCATTGAAATACTTCAGCAATCTTCTTTCCTACAAGTACAAACACGTCAAGACGGTTAACAGGACACTAATCGACTTGATTCCATTTCCCACATCCCGCTGCGACGGTCAGATGAACTTGTGCCTGATCCCATCTCCAATCAGGTTGAGACGAGTGTCACACGTAGCTCCCGGCCAGAGAGAAGATGAGAAGACGTTGGGTTTTGCAAGCTTGGCAACCGCTTTGAGGGGTCTCGAGTGAGATTTCCGATATGGCCAATCGCTGCGATTTGGAGATGGAGAAGGATTCTAATGATTTGGGCGAGGTTAGGAAATGACTTGGCAAGCCACGCATGTAAGATGCAAGGCACAGCGCTGATGTCAGCAGCCCATCCCGATAAAGAGGCCTGACCATTGGTACGTCCGAGGTCAGCCAAAGTAGAGAGCCAAAGCTTCGAGGGTTACGAGTGATTTTACTTTGTCTTGTTCAAGGTCGAAGATTCAAGTTTTTGAGCAGAGAATTGGAGTCCAAAAATAGATATCAAAGACAGCTTTCTATCAGCGAAAGTATTTGAGGAACAGAACACGGGGGTTTTGATGCTCTGGATGAATGAAACCTGGAAATGCCTTTCAGGATTATTTTGTTAAACAGCGGAAGATGATGATACAGGAAGACTGAACCTAGTGCCTCATTGGCTGCTTCAGTCACTCAAAAAGACCAGGGGAGGATCTGGTGAGGTCTTTCCGAGTTTCAACCCCACAAGAGCCACACGTGAGCATTGGACTTCACAAAGTTGATTGCTTTGTAGAAAGATTTATAGATAAATCATGTACTGCATGACTACTTTTGCTCCAATTCCTTGATCTGCCAGTCCTCGTCAATTATCGCCGTGCTGGGGGTTTCTCAAATGCTAAATTTGTGAGCGGGCACCGACCACAATGAGGCCGCCATCCTTCCATACCTGTAATCCATCTAAGGTCATTGGGACACGTGGGAATCTCGGCACCAGAGATCTCGTCAATGTACCAATATCGCTCTGCGCAGGGGAATCGTCGCTCGTAGTAGTTTATCGGGCGACTGCACCGGATACATCTCTCTGTGCAGCAGTAAATAATGCACATCTTTGCTACCTTGAGATGTCTTTCTAAAGGAGCCTGACGGCTATACACTTTTGTCGTTGTTTGAATGTTATGTCGAAGTTGCTCGTGTCTGGTGATTTCTGAAGTGAGCTGGAAGACCATAGTAGAAAAGCCTTCACATATACCCAGACTAGCCTGCGGCTGTTGTAATTATCATATGGGTGTAATGTTTGTGAATACTAGATTTGTGATTGAGTCTCGAGTGTCCTGGTACAAAGAGTCACAATGGAGTCAAAGAGAATTGTTTTCCAAACAGGTCTATGGACCACGTTCTATTTGAGCAGGATCGGCTACGTTCACACAAACCCACTTCAGCCCGTTGTAACCGTGATTCATGTATCTTGGATATTTTCTAACAAGTGAATCGCCACAAAGAAAAGGCCGGACATACCAAACTAATACAAAGCTACGCATTTTGAAAGATGTTACAATTCATGCTTATCATCAAATTTGTTCAACTAAGTTAATAAAATGCATTCCCATATCTAATCTTGCAATGAGCCAATTTCCAAGACTTGCTGAGTCTAAACCACAATGTAGCTGGAGACAACTTGAATGAGACCTCGTCTGCAGCTTATCGCTCAACATCAGGCTGCCTTTAAAGTGATTGGTGGCACGTGGTTGGGCTGTACTCGAAGTTACGAAGTCGCAGTGCGACAGATTCAGCCACCATGTAGGCCTTTGCCGATTCGGCGTCCCATTCGCGATCACTTGATCAATTTTGCCGTTTACGTCGTCAAAATACGCGTATACACAGGAACAACGGCAAAGGAGATCGGCTAGTGCATGGCCAATCGCGCTTTTCTTTAGCTGCTCAAGCTCATTTCCGTGCAGTAGTGTTGCAGTGACATTTGACTCCTTGCGGGGAACCATGTCACCCTGCTCTGCCCGTCTACCTTCGGCGGGAGCAGAGACAATCACGAAAATACAGCGATGTGTGGGAATACAGCTGAGGGTGACTGTCTGGAGGATATGTTCACCCGTAAGCCTGCCATTGATACTGCCCATTGTCTCCAAGGTAGGTTAGGTCCTTGTTCGAAATTGGCAGAATCTTGACATGACGTATCATCGTTCGGCTGGGCGTTTCGGCAAACACCTTCACTGAAGTGTATTTAAGTCACTGACGATGTCCTCTCAAAGTTCTAATTTCTACGTTGTTTACATAGACCGGCGATTTGATTCTCTTATTTTCAATTTTCCTCCGAGCGAAGTCGCTGCATCGTGCAGAATGTCTATACCATTAGTTATCATCGTCCTTTTGGGCAAAGCATTCGGCGATGGTCTTGAGTATAATCTCAATCTGCATTTGCCAAGCCACCGGCCAGAATGGGCCGAAAAGCTCTCTCCTCACCTCGCGGCTTTCAGCATAGAAATGGACCGCTGGCCAGACTGGGCTGGGCAAGAAGTCGGCAAACCAAATGAATACTTCAACCGGCATCTCTCAAACCTAGGCGAAAGGACTGGTCATATGCCATTCCTTCGGGTAGGAGCCAACTCGCAAGACAGAGCCACTCTAGATCTAAGCCTCGAGGTGATGAACAAAACCTTTCCGGAACCGACTGAGACTGTCCCCAACCCAGAAGCCGACCACATCTACATCGGCCGAGACTTTTACGCCTTATCCGGGAACCTCCCTGCCGGAACGCCCTTCATGTGGGGTCTCAACCTCAAGTCCTTGAACCAGACTGAGACTGTTGCTCAGGCCCGGTTGCTTGCCCAGACCTTTCAAGGAGACCGGGCAGACTTGACCAAGAATGTGCGACTTGTCAACGTCGAGCTAGGAAATGAGCCTGACTTTTATGGCTTGACGCGCACAGGTCGCAATGGTCCCTACGGTGTTGAGTGGGATGTTGCCAACTACACAACTACTTGGGCACAATATGCCGAGGCAGTGAGCAAAGAGATCGAGTTCGATCACTCTGGTTCAGGTGGACCTACACTGTCTCCTGGAGCCTTTACTGGTTTTAACGCACCAGAATGGACACCAGCGGGACCCTTGCAGCTAGGTATGCTGGATAATTCGACCATTCGAAATGCGACAACTCAGTTCTCGGAACATGCATACTCTGGCGGCTTCGACCCACGCCGTGTTGTCAATCCCGGCGATCTCATGAATAAGTTATATGTGCGCAGCAACATGACTTCGAAGATGGCCGGCATCCAAGCAGTAAGATCCGTGGGTTTGGATTATCTCTTGGTATGAGCACCTTGTATATACTGTCTCGTTTTACCAACTGAGATATCAATAGGCCGAAACAAATTCTTATGCAAAGTAAGTCTCATTCATTTGATGTGAAGAATATTCTGACTTTGTGCCCTATTGATAGCCATGGCCAGCCAGGGCTGAGCAACACCGTCGAGAGTGCTCTCTGGGCTGTCGACTGGCTCTTACTCGGCGCCTCTTTCGGCATACAAAGGCTTCATTTCCACCACGGGGTAGGTTTTAGATACAACCTGATACAGCCAACAAGTGACTCCGATGACGGTCTCAACATCACTCGGCCCCATATTCTTCCATCATATCACGCTTTTTTGATTGTCAACGAAGCCATCGGAAAGTCTGGCGAATCGTATGTTGCAGAAATACCGACCAGTAATGTTACTCTTACCGCGTACGGAATATGGGAGCAAGAGCGACTCGCCAGAATTGTTGTCTTGAACACGCAGGTTCATCTCGGTGGACAGGAGAAACCAAGCATCAACGTCAATCTGAAGGGAATTGGCCCAGGTCGATCGATTACCGTGAAAATGTTGCATTCGGAAAAGACGACTGCTAATACCGGATTGTGAGTCGACTTCTCACCTTTCAATTGTTTTACAAGCTTACTGAATGTTGCGACCAGGTTGTGGGCGGGACAAAGTTTCGAGACTGCGTCTGGGGAGCCGGAAGGCGATCTAAGGGAAGATGAAGTCCTGAACGATATTATTAGCTTGCCGGCGTCTTCAATTGCTCTCTTAACAATCCGATGAGTCGAATTTGTTTTTAGTCATGCTTACCTCTACATACTTTGAGAGGTGAATTAGGGTCATAATTCTACATGTTCAACTTTCTGTCTGGGGGAATTCCACCAAGCCTATTTACAGACAGCCCCTGGTCACTTCATCATCGTCCACCACGCATTGCTGGAACTTAATAGCACCCTTAAGGTAACCTCCAGGACTTCTATTACCTACCAAGTCTACCCAAACTTTTCAACTTGATTAGACAATCCAGAACTGTGCAATATCGAGATCCAAGCACGCACTTGTAACTGCAAATTGAAACCAACCAAATTTCTCCCAGTACCCTTTGATCTTATCACCTACCTAGAGAGTCGTATCGTCATCGAAGAAAGAGTCCGTGTCGTCAAGACATCTAACACGAAACGAAGGGACGTCAAGCCACTGGTTAAACTGGCGGAAAACTCGATGCGTCTCCAATCGAGCCTCCGAGACGCCCAACACTATGTCAAAATCATAAGAGGGCTTGGCGGGATCGAGTTGATGGCCAATGTACTTCGTCTGGGGCTGCTTGACGGCTTCTGGTAGTGCCTCGGGCCAAGCTTCAAGATGCTTCAAACAGCAAAGACTATCACATGTCTCATTTTGACACTGGGGCTCATGGGTTACCATCTTGCCACGCCGGATGCCTAGGTCGCTAAGGCGCTCTACACGTTGGGGGCCAGAGGCCGGTGGTTGTCTCGCTGGTTGAGAAGTCCAACGCGACAATGCAGCGGTATGCGAAGCGTCGTTACATGGATAGCGAGTTGGGAAGTAGGTCTCGTGAATACTTCTTGTGATTTTGCCTTTGCACCAGTGAGCCAGAGTTCCATTCTTGGATTTAACTTGAATGTGGTTCTCACAAGGCTTCATATCCGTGACATGGCGGACTACTTTGCTGCAGCGAATGCAGCTCTCGAGAATTTGCTTGACCTCGCACATTGTATGCCCGGTGTGGTGTTAGGTTTGGAAATGGCAGACGAACAGACCTATGCGATTTTTGGGATTGCTCGGTGGATGGATCTTCGACACTGTCACACTGATGACTCTTGTGTTTGGTTGTTGTTTCGGTTGCGATGAGATTGGAGGATTGTGTCTGGTTTACTTGGCGGATGATGCAGGCGAGTTTATGTGTCACACGACTTGGTTATGAGGAAAGGATTCTATTCACAACTCAACGCTTGTTTCGAACCTACCATTTTGTATTCACTATCAGACTGAAAGTCATAATTGCACAAAGACTACAAGACAAACTTTAGTCAGAATAAAGAATGCACAAAGAGAAGTTTTCCAAGGTCCACGATCATAACGAGTTGGATAAAGCCCTTGTCACGCCTCAAACATGGATGGAAGACCCGATCGAATTGACCTTAAGTTCCTGCGGCGCCCATCTCGACTTTGGCCGGGTAGCCCAGCAAGGCCAGTCTGAGAAAGCCACAAGTTGTGTATCATCATTGGGAAGAACTTCAAAATCAAGCAGTCAGCTACTCGCAAGTGGTAAGTTGTCTCTTCTTGAAGTTGGAAGCTGCCTGGTGCACTGGCCCCTGTGCACGCCCGTCGTTGCGTAGGCGACGGCTCAGGCCTGAAGAGGGGGGTCAGTGAACACATAGGTACATAAATCCTGCCTCATTCCTTCGCTCGGTATCGTACACAAACACGTCCATGCTCTCAAGCTCACATTGGACCACACCAAGTCCCAAAATATAATGTCGTTTAGGGTCTTCGGATGGCAGACGAGGTTTGTCTAATTTCGTAGTCAATGCGTCTTGCTGCCCCTTGAGAAGAGTCTTACTCTCAACATCCGATCATCGGATCGCGGGGGAGGCTAAAAACCTCGGACGGTATTGCGCGAACAGGCTTTGAAACTCAGGAACACTTATGCAAGCCGAACAGCAACTCATCACGTACGGCAAGGTTTGTTACCCAGGTAATTCAGCGATCCCACACGTCATGCAGCACACGATGGATGGCTTGCGTGCCTATCCGTATCCGAGGACGAGGTTTGAGGCTCAGAAAAATGTAATCCTGTTTGATGGTGATAGCGGTGTAGACCGTCTTACTTGAGAATACTTGCTCAGAGTGCACTTGAGGTCAACCAACTATCATATATAATGCGGCAGCGATGCCATTCCAAGCAATGTCATCTGCATCCACTCTCACACAACTCACAACCAGCCTCTTCTCAGGCAATCACTCGCTCAGCTGTCACCACCATTCATTTTTCTCTTCAGCTGTCCAAGCAAAGATCTCGGAATCCCATTGATTCAGGAACAGTCATGATTCTCAAGTGGAACTCGTCCCTCGCTCTGTGTGCTGCGTTGCTCGCTGGTGCAGTCGACGCCCAAGGGGCCAACTGGGGAGGTTTCAACACAATCCGCAACATTTGGACAGCCGGCGCATCTTACGACTACATCGGAAGTGGTGCTTTGTATGTGTCTAGGCTCATCTTTTGGGAAATCCTCGCACAAGCTGACTGAGGGTGATGGTAGGAGCTACAGCACGACCTCAAACGGGCCGAATCATATCAACTACATCGCCAACGCACGCGGTGCAAATAATGTCGTCCTCAACAAGTTTGCATACCCCGGGGCGGTAACGGACTCTCGCTATGCGGTGCCCACGCAAGTTCTTCCCGGGTTCAGTCCCATCATCAACTGGAATGATCAAATCAATGAGATCGTTACCGCTTTCACAGCAGCTCGTACGGCGGGTACTGCTTCGGCCAGGGATTCTCTCTTCATCTTCCTGGCGTCGAACACCGGCAATGATATTCTTGGTACCTACAACACCACCACTAATCAAGCACAAACTATCAACAATTTGATCGGAGTCATCCGCACCAAGTTTGCCCAGGTAAAGAGCTACATTCGTCCCCCCCCTCCCCCTTTCGACGCATCCACTGTTCGTCATGACTTGAGAGCGCGAGAACAATTGAGCTAGAGACTGACTTTGGCCTCTCGCCCTAGATCTATGGCGCCGGAGCTCGCAACTTTGTCTTCCTCTCTGTATTGCCGGCGGAGCTCATTCCCAGAATTCAGATATTGCCCCAGGCAGACAGAGACAAGGTCGCCGACTTCGCAAACAATTACCGTGTAGCAGTGAACAATCTCATCACGGAACTTAGAAACAACAACACGTACCGCGGTCAGATCACCATCTTTGCACCCGATTTCACCCAGGGCTTGAGGTCCATCAAGGCTGGTACGCTAACCACCGGCCCCACCGCTGGATACCTTGATCGGAACGGCTATTGCGCGGACGCTCTCCCCATTGGCATTGTCGTGTAAGTAGTGAAGTGCTTCGGCACAAAGTTGGAAACATCGTCCAAGAGGGTTCTTTCCAAACAAAGACGCTGACTGTTTTATTTCTTTGCAGACCTCCGAATCCTGACTACAAATCGACCAACTGTGCCTACACTGCACGGAAGTACCTTTTCCACGACACGATTCACATTACCTCGCCGGCTCATTGCGAGTACGCTATCAACACTCTGGCTACGCTTGGCGTCACAGCAACACCGCAGCAGTTGGGTTGTCAATTCGCTTAGTGGGTTGGCAATGTGGCATAAACATGAAGCTATGTCTGTTCGAAGCAAGCTACTCTAGCTATCATGGGATGATGGGTCTTTTTGTGGTGCAAATGATGTGCAGGTCATGTTGCAGTCAGTGTATATATTCCAAGTTTCATTACACTTAGAGGCAAATTTGTGCCAATCCAGCAAATGTATCGGTATTTACGCTCATCAAAACTCTCCAATGTTATAAAAATCCAAGGTGGCGCTCCTGTGAGCAGTCAGGTGCCCCATCGTGGAGACCGAGCCTTATGTGTCTTTCATTTGCATCGGAACGAAGTCAAGGCAGGAGCATCTACTTCAGCTCGAGGCGACGCAGCTTTTGAGTAAGAAATTCGCAAATGGCCCCGGCCATTCACTCTACCGTCAGACCATCCGACAAATTGGCTGCCCGACAACGGATGAACCGTCTCCATCCTGCCCCTTACACGATTCAAGATCGGCGGAGTTCCCAAAGCTTCGGGAATGAAGCAAACTCTAAATGCGTCTCAGACAAATTGGAAACTCATCCCACCGGCAACGACCGAGTCGCAACTTAGCAAGCCGAAGCTCTTCTTCCGCCTTATTCTCCGCCAATTCCGTAACGACTAATGGCGGAAACTTCGTACTACAGCGAGACCGAGTCGGATGAAGCATCCTTCCCCTACCCATTCCACAACCCCCCGGTCAACAACTCTCTTTAACCCATACCAGCATGGCCATGGCCTTGTTGTACTGACCAATTAACGAAGAGAGGAGGTCTCTACTCAATATCGTAGGCCGGTGGGATACTAAACACCAAAGTACTTATAGATTCGCATGCGGCTAAGAGCATCGTGTCTGCCATCTGAATTGTAGTCTGCTTGGCCCTTTACAGATCGTTCGTCGCGAAGTTCTATTCCATTCGCTCAAGACTTTTAGTCAGTTACACTCATTCTTTAACAAGTTATTTTGCGACACTCGCTCCACTCACCATGCACTTCTCTACCTCTTCTCTTGGCGCCCTTGTTGCGGTCGCGGCTGGTGCCGCCGATGCCGCAAAGTGCCCTATTCAGTTTGATGGCAGAATCCCAACAAACTTCACACCCGCCTCTTTCGATACCTCTGCGAGTCCCTTCAACAATGGCTTTGTTTTCGGCAAGGGTCTGAAGGCCAGTGACGTTGTCACTATTCCAACAGGCTTGTCGTCTCTGGTAAGCCACACATCGACATGAATATTTCTGGCAGCAGTTGACCGATCTTCCTTAGCTCGACGGCCCGGCAAACAAGCCTTTCCAAGTCAACATTGACAACAGATCCATCTTCGCGCCCACCGAGACCAACGTGCAAACGGGCTTCCGCCGCGCAGAAATGCTGCCCATGAGCAACAACGGCACCGACCCTTCCACGTCCGGCATCAAGACTGTCCACTGGAGCATGATGAAGGACCCCAAGAAGCCGCTCAACTTAACCCACGAGTACCAAATGGTCTTTTTGGAGAGCTCCATCTTCAGCTCGAACCAATTCGCGCTCAAGTACGGCGATCTCATCGGCATTCACCCGGCGGACCCGGATGTTCTCCACCTGTTTGGCAACTCCAACACCAACCCGTCGCCGGAGCTCTTCAAGACCAAGTTCACTGAGGGCGTGTTCCACAACTTTGCCCTGACTTTGGACTTTGGCAAGAAGTGAGTGCATAGTTATACTTCTGTGACTGTAACCGGCTTAACTGACATTGATATCGCAGCTTGACCCAGGTGTACTACTCTCAAGGAAATGCCCCCCTTGTCGCTCAGGGCCAGCCCATCGAGAACGATATCTCTGGACAGGGACAGTTCCACTTTGGCGTCTTGAAGAAGTCGATCAACGGCACCGGTGGCCTAACCAAGTCTGGTTTCCACGAGTCTGGAATCAACGAGGGCATCATTTTCGGTTCCATCTTTGAGGAGGACAGCATCGATGGCTGTGTGACCTTGTCTCTTTGATTACCCAAGGGTCTTCTTTGAGTCCCTGCATTTACATAGATATCCAGCCTTGGAGTTTGATAGAATATGGCTTCCAATTCACATTGGTTTCAATTATTGGTATACTAGACTAATTAAGTGCAGTGATGCACTCGAAGTCATGTGTCAGGTCAAAACGCCAGTGATTCCGATACTCCTTCTGTAGACACAAGTCCAATTCCACTAGGCCATCTACCAAAATCAACGTCCCAGTATCGGATCGCCAACCTCAAATCTTCCACTTGAGCTCCTCCAAAACCTCTCTTGCAGCCCTCTGACCCGCAAATACAGCGCCCTCCATGTACCCATAATGCTTCGTCGAGGTCTCCGTGCCAGCCCAATGAATAGCCCCAATCGGCTTCCGAATCCACTCCCCCAGCAGCGTCCACATCCCCGGTGCCGGCGTCGCCATAGGGCACCCGAGAGCCCACTCCTCCTCCATCATGGTGTGGAAGAAGAACTCCTCCGGGTCGAGCGCCTCCGGCCCGAATGCGGACGCAAAACCAGCGAGGGCGACGGCCCGTTTCTGGTCCTTGCTGAAACTGATGAACTCTCGCGCCTTGGTGCCGACGATGAAGCCCGTGAGCTTGGCCGGGCCCCCGGACTGCGACGTCGCGTCGTAGGTCACGCTGAGGAAGCCGGTCGGGTTCGTGCTCTCTCCCGTCAGGCCTCGTTCCCTCCAAAAGGGGGTTTTGTAGGTTGCGTAGACTTTCATGTAGGCTCCCATCGGCATGTGCTGGAGCAGTGTTGTCTTTTCTACCGGTAACCTTGGCTCGAAGTCGATCTTGAGAACATGCAGTGGCGGGATGGCGGAGATGATTCGCCGTGAGCGGTATGTTCCTTTAGACGTCCGGATGGTCGCAAGACTCTCAGTGTATGTGATGCCGCGAACTGGTTCCTCGAAGCGAATGCCTCCGTCTCCCAAGTGTTCTCTCAGCTTCTCGGCAATGGCTTGGCCTCCCCCTTGTACGAAATGTTCCTGCGCTCCATTTTCGCAGCTCAAACCTGACGTGAGACTGACCAAGCCCTTGAAGAAGAACATGGCGTGAAGCATCGAGATACACGACGTATTCTGCCCGATTGTTCCCTCGAACGCCAAGTTGCCCAGATCAATGGTAGCTTGTGTCCAAGCCTGCTTCTTCAACCACTCATGCACCGTCATGCGGTCAAGCTCCTCCGCGTTTGGTGTCTGCCACGGCTCTTCCATGTTGACCGTCTCACACAATTTCTCGAATCGGCGGACGAATAGACCGGTATCCAGAACCTCCCACGGCCTCACCGGCGGGATCAGGCCTGCATAGCTTCGCGCCTTGCCCCGATAAGCCAGGACTATCTTTCCCTGGCCGGGTGGCTTGAACAATGGCACGTCGAATTCCTTTGCCAGACCGTGCATGAGATCTTGCTTGTGGCCGACGAAAGAGGCCCCGACATCCCAGTAGTCGCCATTGTCGAGCGGTATTGTCTTCGCGCGTCCACCGACGCGGTCGCGTGCCTCGAGTAAAATGACCTTCTTTCCAGCATCCTTCAGGAGTCGTGCAGCCGCGAGACCGGAGTATCCGGCACCGATCACCACGCAGTCATATATAGGCGTGGTGTCTGGTGTATCTTCCGTCGCAGATTCACCCATGGTTGCGACTTGTTGCGTTGAGCTGGGCAGAACAGTCTCTGAGAAGAACCCAAGTTTTTCGATCTGTGCAAGATGGCAAGAAAGAAAGTTTGAAGCTCTCGCCCGCGGAATGCGTAATTCTGAACCTTCTCAGTTCTTCGTCTGTACTCAAGTACTCGTCCGATGATTGCTTGGACCTGCCAGCGGGAAGCTCTCTAGCGCTTACAGAAGATTGGGAGGATTGTCAGCCACGCCTGGATTGGGGACCAATCACAACGCCTCGTAATCTCCCTTGGGCACCTTTGTCTTCCTTCGTCCTGGCTTGCTTGGCTCCTCAATCTCACATGTCTGTGAGTCTGGCTCGACTTCATATGCGTAAGCCACGGGTATTGATTTGCTGCGCACGTGGCTGAAAGGTACCCAGTATTGAATTGCACTGAGAGAAACAATCGATTGTCACGACGATCGATGCGCCTCAAGATCACTAGAGTGTGTACCATTGAATATCGGCGACGACTCTCAGAAGTTCCAACTGTGGGCGAGGAGTGCCGATTGGAGCAAGGTCGATTATCAAAAGGTATGTTCCGTCACTAATAATTAAGCTCCTGGGCCCCGAGTTAGCATGTTTGCGATTCAACAGCCGCACTGGTTTCTGAAGTCGACCCCGGATATCTACCTGATCCATATAAGCTATCTGCATGTAAAGCTTTGTTCTAGCTGTCTTGTTCATAGTATACAACAACAAGTTACCAGTAACATTCTCGTGCGTTTACACGAGAGCGAGGTTCTGAGTTTCCTGTCTCAAACCTCACTCTCGACTCCTGAGCACAGTCTTGAGCCGCGCAGTCTTGAAGCAAGAAGCCCGTAGCGTACTTGATGGGCTTCATACATGTGTCGCAGAGACATCTTTCAGCAATCTGGGCATGGGCGGAGCATCTCCTTCATCCTTGGCCGGCTTGATCTCCTTTTCCTTTGCAATCTATTCTTTCCAGTCATGCATCTCGTTCGCGTACTTATGCGGAACAGGCGGATTTTCTTCATTCGGCTCCTCTTCGCCTCCCGAGTCTTTACCATTGCATTGCTCAGAACCCTTGCATCCACAGATACCCTCACAGACTGGCTCCATCATGCCCTCGGGTATCAGCTTCGAGATGAAGGGTATCTTGAACCCGACGCACTTCTTGAAGCATTCCCCGTGACTCTTATGACTCTTGTGGCCCTCATATCCCTTTTGCCCTCCATGGCTTTCCGCTGAGGACGCCCGAGTTCCGTTTGTCTCTGCTAGACTTCTAGGCGACTCCATCTTCTTGGGAGGCAGATGCTTGTCGAGATGGTTCTTGCAGCGCTGCCAATTTGGAGGCTGATTGCCCTCGGTGTCTTTTCCTCCCTGATGTGTGGGATGCTTCATTTTATGATGTGATGACTTTGTTTTGTGATGATGTCTCATAGAACAAAACGATTGTTCCCAGGGTGCGAGGTTGCCTTTTTCCGTATCTTGGTCATGGTCTTGGTCGCCCCCTATAGGCGGCGGAACGTTGGTGACGTTGAATGATGTGGGCGTCTGGGCGGAGGCTGTGGCAATGGCTGTCTTGCTGGGAATGGCGATGGCTGCCGCGGATGCCAGGAAGAACACCAGGTAAAGAATTGTAGCCTTCATCATGGTAAGCAAACAAGGGGTGTGAATATGTACAGAGAATGAGTAGGCAGAGCTTACATGAAAGAGTAGCTAAGCACCGAGTGCTTGCTTTTATATTTCTTTGGATTCAATGTTACTATTTACATGCTCCAGACAAAGGCTACCTTGATCCGAACCTTCTCATCAGAGCAATTTTGTGCCTGAATGTAAGCTTCATTAAAGTTTTCTGAACCATGCGCATTCGTAAGACAAGTGAAGCAAGGTTCAGTGCCTGCGTCTACACTCTTCGGATCCTGCCGTATGCAAATCTTTGAAAAATCGGGTGAGAGGTAATGGAGTAGTAATCGGCTCAAATCGACCGTTCTGGATGTATATTAGGAGGGCCGTCAGTTCAGTTGACACGGGATGATTTAGCGTTCCGTGTTCGCTGAGTCGGGACTTGCACAGCTTGTGTCTTCGTAAGAAACTGGCGAATACGGCTTCTCTTCCTCGTTTCTGTAATTGCCAATCCAGTGAAAGTGTAGCGATTGAGAGACGGATGTGGATTCCACTGTTATTGTTGCACGTGGATTCACCTTGAACCCTCGGGTATCCAGTATGAGGACGCCTATGCTCTGGAGTCGATTCAACGACCGACGTCTCTATCGTACACCTCTATCATGATCATGAGCCGTAACAGCGAGATCCTGCAACTGCCTCACCTTGAATACACATGACTCCTAGCATCTCACTTGTCTTCCTCGCCCTCACCTTCACCTTCAGCCATCTCCTCGTCACCATCTTCGCCTTCTTCCCCGGCATCGTCATCTTCATCATCGTCATCGTCGTCGTCGTCGTCATCATCATCGCTCGACCCAGAGCCCTCGCTCTCTCCCTCGCTGCCAGGGTCATAGTCCTCTTCGTCTTCATCTTCATCCTCCTGGAGCGCCTGCTCAGCCTCAAGATGAGCCTTTTCAAGCTCCGTCATGCCGTTTGCATCCGCGTCTCCATTGGCACCAGCGTCTGCGTTTGCACCCTTCTTCTTCAGGTTTTCAGTCAGCTCCATCTTCGCCTTCCTCTGCTCTGCCATACTGCGGTCCTGCAGTCCGTGGCGCTTGACATAGGATTCGTCGATGCCGCCGTAGTCTTCCTGGTCCAACATGCCGAACTCAATCTCCTCGGTGGCGTCACCCTCGGTGAACACCTCCACCACGATGTTAAATGTACGCTGCAGAACGCTTGTGTAGCTCATGGCTACAATGCGGTCGATGGGCAGAAATACTAGAGGCTTTTTGAAGCCGTAGAGAATGCCATTGGGAAGGAAGAAGAGGTATCCGTCTTTGGAGCCGCGGAAGGCCTTGACGTGCACCGCCTTCTCATTTGGTCTGTGCGGCTGGCGGACGAGGCTGTGAAAGATGTTGGAGTCGGCTGAGACAATCTCGGCAGGATTGCCAGCGGAGCTGAGGTGTGTCGTCAACGCCCAATCAAAGAGACCACGGTAGGTGTCGGAGACTGCTGATGCAGCGTTCGCTTTCGGGCCTTCGATGGTGCCGGCCTTGGGGGCTGTGGCAGGCACTGTGAATACTAGAGCTTCCTTCTCGGGTGAGGTTTTCGTCGGGAGACATGTTCCACGGGGAAATAGGACGTAGTTATGCTGCACCTGGGTCTTCTCGGGTACGGGGAGGTAGAAGAGGTATTCTGAAGCGCAAGTTAGCTTGGGTGGGATGTTAGGTTCTTGTGCGATTGGAGACGCACCAATGTCATCCCAGGCATAGATTATGCCCTCGACGGGTGCAGTGGTATTCGGCAACCGCGCGTAAAAGAAGTTCGCCGTGAAGCAGAGCTCGTACTTCTTGCGCTGGGGCACGGAGACGGAGATCTCCTTAATCACAAGGAGAACCTCTTCATCGGCAGCGTTTCCAGTTCCGATGGTTTTCAGTACAGGCTTCGCAGCCACCCCATTTGTGTTGGATGCCTTGACACCGTTCGTGGAGCCTTCTTCTATCCGTCTGCGTTTTGATGCCGGTTCGGGTCCGTTGATCTGCTCGTGAACGAAACTCGCGATATTGTTGAACAATGCGACTCGATCGGGTGTGTCTGGGTAGACGAGAATTAGCATTTGAGAATTCAGGAGAAGAATTCAGAAGAAGAAAACTGCGCAATTGGAACGGATGGTCGTACTGGCTGCCTTTTGAATGCCCTGCAAAATGTCGGGTCGCGACTGGAAGACGGCTTCCAGCCGCTGGCTGTCGAGGCCAGCAACCATTTTTTGATGAAATATTTGTTTTCTGTCCCAGAAATTCGGTGTCTTCTTGATGATGGGTTCGATGAAATTAACGAGATGGCGGCTGGTTCGAATCGTCTGAGTGGGTGAAAGCGTCCCTTTGAATGTAGTGAAAATTCAGGATTATTTTCTCTCTCTCGACGCGACGTCGACAAAAATTATGGGATGTGACGTGTTGAAGCTGGCGGCTGTTTGCTGAAGCGGCTGTTCCTGGTGCACTGCGGCACGGACTTACATAATGCGGCGGTTACAGGCCTACAGCAATCTGTACGGCGAACACTCGGGGTGGGCACGCGCCCCTTTTCTTGCGAGGGGCCACTAATTCAACCGAGTCTTCAAGGTTCCAAGGAGACAAAGGCGATGACAAAACTCGGCCATCACAGCCCTGATCATCAATTACCTCGAGCTCTGTGGACTAAAGTGCTCTGATATTTCAGTATTTGTTTGGTCTTTCTAATATTTCCTCGATACTTGCAGTTTCCAACGTATGGTGGTCGTTGCCCATTGCCAACTCCACGCTTCCGACCAACCCAGAACTTGCTTCTAATTACCACAACCAGTAGTTGCCCGAGAACCATACATCATTGTTGTTCTTTCCAGTATCCTTACTTCTCCAGCTCGCTATAGATGTGAGACATATTCCAGATTAGCCGGGAAGCAAGTTGATCATACTGTGTAGAGGAGCTCCTTCATAACAGCATCAGATAGGTATTTGATCATCAGAAGTCAAGCCGCAGTGGAGGCTAAAAATACAGGTACGAGGTCAGCCTTGTCTTATCTCTCTCCTTATCGCGAGCTAAGGGAGCTTGGACCATCCTTGGGGGTCTCGAATTCCCCTGGCTGCCCCTGAAAGAGGCGACGTCACAGTGGAGGATGCGCCCAAGGCCCCAAATGCAATGGCACTGATTTGGCGCGCATCTTGACCCCGCGGTTTCCACTCGTCTGCTGTCACCAGCCGAACAGCATATTAGGTAATTCACTGCTGGGTGCCCCACAGCTTCCTTTCCTCGGAGGTCAGGCAACATCACGGACTGTGCTCATTCAACCTCGAGTCTTGCTAACGCCAGTTCCGCCCTTGAGGTAGGCCTTGGATACCGAGCCTTCAACAGCACCCTAATCTTCCCAAAAGAATCATTGACTGCTGACGATATCATGTCATTCTCCAACATCTACACCCATCGCAAGGTCGCGGAAACGGCGGCCAAGGGCTGCGATGTCTGCTACCGTGCCACAAGTAGCGTCCTGGTCGCCCCCGAAAATAAGGTAAAACCTATGATTCCTCCCCTGACATGCGAGGCTAACTCGAGCTGTAGGACTTTTTCTACGTTTGCCCCAGTCATCTGAAAGACAAGAACTTCTGCTCCCCTATCATCGACAAAGAGGCCGTCGAAGCGAAGAAGAAGAAGGCTCTCGAGGACGAGGTTGCGCGTGTGAAGAAGGAGTACGAAGAGAAACAAAAAAAGAAGAAGGAGAAAGAAGAGAAGGACAAGGAGAAAGAGAAAGAAAAAGACAAGGAGAAAGAGAAAGACAAAGACGACAAAAAGACAGAGGACGAGATGAAGGAAGACAGCGCCAAGGCAAGCTCTTTGATATCCCGCTTGTTGCTTCTTGAGTCCATCGGATGACTGATTCCTTGAGACATCGGCTGACAAACTTCAAGGGCGGCACCGAAACCCCATCTCCGGCTGCGGAAGAGGAGCCACGTGTGTTCGCACTTCAAAAGTATGAGCTCTTTTGGCGTGCTATATGTACAAAGTTGGCTTCAACTAACACGGCTTAGGAGCTTCTTCGGGGCCCGACTTGAAAAGAAGCGACAAATGGAGATCGCAAAGAGAAACCGGGAACGCCTTCAGCAACCGAACCTATTTCCATCAGTTCCGAAAGGCATGCCGGGTAGTTGAGAGATATTCACCACCGAAGCCCGAATGACGGGACCGCAGTACAAGCACAATCGCCGGTTCCACAGCCATTTCATGACCGTCAGCCCACTCGGAGCACATGATTTTCCATGCCACCACCCGGATCAACCTGTCCTCATATACCTGCTTGGCTGTATATACCCCCAAGTCAAGATGGTGCCTATGACTAGGACAGGGATTCTAAAGCACTTTCTGTCCTAATCAGTCCTGCTGCATTAGCTCTCTCTATCTGGAGTCGGCGCCGGCTGTCATCCTTTCTCGTGCGGACAACGCTTCGAGGTTGCATTCCACTGGGAAAAAGACATCATTGTCCAAGGAACAGCTCGTCATTGGTCCATTTACGTCTCTTAGGTTGCGACTTTGGTTTACCTATATGCAGGTAAGACGACTGCAGTGGCCTTGGTGGGCAGGCGAGTTGCTGGGGAACTACAAGCTGCCGTGGAGGACACTTCCGTCAGTATCCTTGTCGGCGATCATGGGCGTGTGACTATGAGACCTGGCAACTTCTCACTGGCCGAGCCAAGGATTACTCGAGAGATCCAGGGCTTCGATCTGGTGCGGAGGATCATAGCGGTTGTTTGCCGAAGGACTAGAGACTTCCGAGGGAGAAAACCTACGATGATTCGGTTTACCCCGCTAACCTCGATGCTCGAAGGATGCACAGCTGGGGTCAATTGGGTAGATTCATGTTGTTTGGGCCCTTGCTGTCGGGTCAACGAAGGAAGCCGGCGATAGGATCACGCGGACGACTAAAGGCCGAAGATGCCGCCCCACGGCGATGGAACCCTCTATGTTGCCAACAGCACAAATTTCATCATATATCCTCCACTGATTTCCTCTTGGCCATCTCAATGCAGTGCATACTGCGAATCCCTATACGCCCTGATTCGTTCGAGGCCCGAGGAGAGGGCACACACGCAAAGTTTGCGCGGCAGCGTAAGCCATGACGCATGTCAGCACTAGGCCTGACAAGGCACTTGAGTGGCGTGAAGTAGACAGCTGGAGTCCCATGAAGCAGCAAGCGAGGATGGCACAGGCCGCCCCAACCTGCAGGAAATGGTGTTGATGGTGGCATCTTCCCGAGACACTACTGGGAGACTGGAAATATGTGCTGCCGATACGTTCGTCGTGGTCCACAAGGCCAAAAGAAACACCCCCAACATCCTACGGTAGACGGTAGGCGGCATGCGTCTCCGTCCAAGAGAAGCTTAGGGCTGACACGGACTGCTGGATCCGCGTGCTACCCGATGTCAATCGGATGGCGATCAATCGACACGCCTTGGTGAGCACTGCTGCGAAGAGTTCCTCTTTTAGAAGTCTCTCCCGAACGTTTGGTGCATATCGTAGCTAGCGCTTAATACGTCTGCTAAATCCCTCCTACAACTTACTTCTTCATGATTCGAGAAGCTGTAGCTTAGCTCCTGCCCAGCAAGCGAATTAACAGTTTATGAATATTGAAGGGTGTGATGAGGCTCCTACGAGGCCAATTCTGACTCTCAAGCTGGGCGTGGCTTACACTACTCCAGCCCCTCCATATTACCGGTACTTCCCAGCCTACAACCTGCTTATGAGGTTTCAGTCATCTCTCCGTAAATCCTCGGGGCATGGAGAAATGGATCCCTGGAATTTCCAAAGTCATGGCAACGGTAAGTGCCGCGAGTGAGCATGTACAGGATCAGGGCAATTTGCTTATTCGGGCAATACGAAACGGGGAGGGCCCAAAGCCCGCTCAAACCAACGTCGAGTTGTCGGCTAGTGCTCTCTGCCTCGGGCGGCCGCCACAGACATGCATACGCACGCTGACATCGGCAAGGGGCAGCGGGCGTGGGCTCATACTAAGGTGTTAACGCCGCAGACGAAGATAGAGGCGGGATTCTCCAGGGTGCATGTAGGCACCGTAAGTACATCTATGCTAACTGCATGGTCACAGAAAGCCTTCTGGTTTGAGCCCCCTGGTTCAGGTCCTGGCTACAGGGCAGCAAACATGCCAGGCTGCGTGAGATGCATAGCTACAGTGACAGTGCCGATGCTGCGTCTCTATTTGGCGCTCTCGCGGTGCCGAACTTTTGTTGATTGATCCTAAGTCGAGGCAAATCAGATAGGCATATTCAATAGCCTTGGCTTAATCACTATCGTCAGAACTATGTCACGCCTCGCACGAAGCTCCAAGCCTTCGGTCCCTCATGACTCGGAACCGCTACTTGACTGGGCAATAATCCAAAATCTGTCCTGGTCGAGCGGTCAGCAAAGGCTTAATGGGACTTTGGGAGCCCTTGTCAGCCCGGCTCCCTGAGCCTCTGTCGGGCACAATCAGCCTAGCTCAACCGCCGGGGTTGCGGGCGGCACTTGCTGCTGATACATAGACTAGTCAGGCCAATCACCTTAAACAGTGCCAGCCTTACGGCTGTGTGGTGGTCTAGACAATGGTGACATGGTGACATATAGTCTTGGTTTACCGGAAGCCTCGCGTGGCTTTTGTTGCCTTTTTAGCTCTGTCACCGAGAAACCCTAGACCGTGGTTGGGTAAGAGCTTGGATACTGCCTCGAGAAATCCTAGTTCCCGAGCCAAACTAACACCCCCAACGCCTGCCAAGTTTTACAAGACTTTGGCAAGTCGATCACCGTTGGCTTTCTCCAGCATAGAGGTGGGCTCTCCTGTGACGCCAAACTTTACATACGAAACCTTCACACAGCACCCCTAGGCGATGCAGACCTACAGGAGGAAGAGTCTTGCCCGTTGCCGAGGGGAGTCGGGGTGAACTAGAGTTGGTGTGAGGCTCACACTCTTTCCCTTCTAAGCTCTTTGCCATCCCGTCCACTTCCCGTACCCAGCTAAGATATAAGTTGCGCGACAGATCATAGCTCTTACATGGTATCGACGAAGATTGCACTCGGACGAGGGAGGGGGTGAGCCAAACGCGATTCTTCACGCCATAGGTGTGTCTACAGTTGAGAACCTCGCGCCTCGGTGTCGAGGTAGAGTGCATGGCGCATGGCTCGGAGGGGTGCAAGTGCCATGCAGCATCATAATGGGGGATGGTGAGGAATACAGGGGGCGGAAGAGAAACGAGGGGGCGAGAGGCAAAGGAGGTACGAGTGAACTCTAGCGGTCACTCTTATGCGGGAGTGGGTGCTGATCATTTTGCCTGCCGGAATTTCGGATTTACAGGCTGACCCATCTTAGCTGTGAGACAGATCTTGGATGCTGGATGGTTTTGCTGAAGGTACATAGTGTCTGTATATCGTTTGCCAGTGGGCCGGGAGATGTGATATTTTCACCGAGCTCGTTGTTATCGTTGGTTCTGTAAGTCTCCACGGAAGATGAATGGTGAGCAGGTCATGATTATCAGATATTCCACTTCGATTGAATGTTACATGACTGATGGTTAGTTGAGGTCTTCACCGCCTTAGACTTCACATCGTGGTTGATTTTTGTGAATTCGAGAACAACAGCCCCTGTGGTGGAGTTCTTCATGGAAACCACAAAACATGCCGATAGGTCATCTCGATATCACACTACTCAAGAAGCAAACTTTCAAACAAATTACGCCACTTTTGTGTGATGCTATTCGAAACTGCTGGGATCCAGACGCCCGCTTTAGCGAGCATCTCTGCTTACAAGTCACTGTGACTCATTGGACGCCTCGGACTTGGCGCTCGGAAGCCATTCAAGTACCTCACAACTTAAGCCAGGATAATCTCGACACTACATGTAGGCAAAGGAAAAGAAATCAAGCTGCGCTTGACACCGGGGATCAGAAACCGGCATTGGTGTGGGTTAGGGCTCTCGCGGCGGGTGACAGAGTTACGATGCAGTTTCGTCAATTCTGGATTCCACATCTTGTCAGCTTGTCAGCACGATGGCGCCGGGTCTAGGAGAGGAGATAGGCTTGCACACCTACTTGCCCTCCTTTCGATCTGTCGTCACATATTCTGCAAGCCAAGACGGCAGTGGGATTGTGATGGCTTTTCCCTCGCCGTGACTTTGCTGACATGATAATTCGGCTGTTTCATGATAAGAATGGAATCATTACGCGGCATGATATATAGAAGTGCTTGTGACTGGGCTTGAAACACTGGCGATTGTGTCGCTTTTTGGGGTGCATAGCCTACCATGTACCTCACAGGAGGAGAACCAAGATTGCGTAGTCGATGGAGGGGATGTCTTACGTGAGAACTCTATCCATCGCCCGGCTTGTCAGTCAGCCACAAACTTGCAGTCTCCCAAGGCACTTGAGCAAGCGTCGAGTTCTGCGGGATGTCGATCACAAGACCCAAGCTACCTGTATGTGGGCTTTTTTGTAGAGGCACAGGCATCATGGATGCTGACAGCTTATTTGTGACAGCTCAGGACTCGCTCAGTTGATGTGATCGTGACACAATGGTGATGAGGCGTCAAGCTGGGGTTATGACAACGCAATCCAATCAAGTTCAACTTGTCGCACCTTGTTCTTTGGCTAACGATCGATATCTCTGTTTGGTCATTGTTCCGGGAGTTTGGCATCAGGCTTCTTGAAGCCGCGCGCTTCGTTAAAGTGAGATGTGTAGATGATGTGATCACGCTGCCTTGGCCACGTATGGAGAGGAAAATAGCCGTAGCAAGACCAGCTCAGGGATTTCCGGGTGATGAAAACGAGGCGTGGCAAGCAGCAGCTTTTCCTCTCATGCAGTAGCGAGTTGTAGACGGAATGCAAACCCCTTCAGAACGTGCGCCTTTGAATCCCTTATCCAGTCTGTCACCTGGGTTGATAGATACTTTCAAGGTGGAATATAACTATATCTCTCTAGTTTGATGACATGACATTCAGAAAGGATATGATTAATTCATGGCATAAGAGCTATCATACAATCAAGGTTATGACTGCGTATTTCGTTGATGGAGCTTGATGCTGTAATTGTGCCCCTGAGATAAAATCAGAATGGGTTATTTTCATAGACTGCTACAGCCCGCGAGCTGGAAACTGATGTTAGGCAAACCCACTAACTCTCTATTGTCCGTGGGCGAGGCTTTTTACCAACTATCACATGCTGAGTTTCACGGTATTTCAAGGAGAGATTGGTCGATAGCGACGGTTAGTGGGTTAGTTGCCGCATCAACAACGGGTGACAAGTACGCCGCAAGACCATATCACATGGGCAGGTAGGTATCAAGAGATTGCAAGAACGGATTCTTCATCAAAGTATCGAATCTGGTGCCTGGAGGCCAAAGAGATAGGAACCGAGCTAAACGTACTTACTAAGATTGAGCTTTGGGCACTGCCATCGTGAATACAAGATATAGATATGTGCATGAGAACTACATGAAAAAATCATCATCCACCTTTTTAGTCTACTCTCAAGGTAGCCTGAGACTTAAAGTTCCTGCTGCTGGAGCCAACGTAAATCGTGTACTCTCCGCTTTCAACCTTCCACTCTTGTCCGACAACATCCCAAACACTTAGATCCCTCCGCCTCAGAGGGAAGGTTACATCAGCTTCCTCCCCAGGACGGATCACGACCCTTTGGAACCCACGCAATTGCCTGACTGGCTCCCCAGCTGCTTCCGGAAAGGAGATGTAAATCTGGGCTACTTCAGCGCCTTGCAGAGCACCAGTGTTGGTGATGCTGGTAGACACAGTTGCCACAATGTCCCAGAGGTCCTCACGGCCACCGACTGCCTTGTCTCCAGTCGCTAATCCGCCCGTAAGCTTGGAGGAGGCTTCGGCCTTGACATCGGAGGAGTATTCGAAAGTGGTGTAAGACAAGCCGTATCCGTATTCGTAGCGAGGCGTGATGTTGTACTGGTCAAAGTACTTGTAGTCGATGTAGTTGCCATCCGAATAATCCAAGTTCAACTCCATCTCACTAATCATCGTATCCGGGTTATAGTCGCTCTCGTTCTTAGCAATGGTGTGGACGAGTCTCCCAGAAGGGTTGACTACACCGAAGAGAACGTCGTCAATTGCGTTCCCGGATTCTTGGCCCAGTGCTCCAGCATACAGCACACCGGTGACGTTCTCGTGTTCAACCCAGGCGTCAACCAAGCGAGGACCAACAGTGTTGATCACCACAATGGTGTTGTTACAGACGTCGGCTACGGTGTTCACGAGCGTGTCTTGGCCGGCGTTGGTCAACTCCGTGCGGTCGGCACCCTCGCCACCCCAGGCATTGAGGAAGACAATGCACGCATCCGAGTCCTCGGCAACTCCAGTGGTGGACTCGGTGAGCTCGGTGCCGGAGCCCTGCATGCCGCTAAAAGACGTCTCGGAGGTATCGTTGAGCCACCACCGAAGCATGAAGCCATCCTTGGCAGCACGCTCATTGAAGAGCTGAAGTGGCGTAGACAAATATGCCAGCGAGCCCATAGCGGATCCTCCGACTACAGCCATGTGGCCTTGCATGGTTGAAGGTTCACCGTCGTAGACGCCGAGAGCGGTGTTTGCACCCACGTATCGTGGGCCAGCATGGAAGCCGAAAATGCTGATACTGGACTTGTTGACCAGAGGGAGCGCACCGTTGGTGTTCTTGAGCAAGGCAATAGACTCAGCAGCATATTGTCTCGCCATGGCGCTGTGGTTGCCGCGGTTGTCAATGCGGTCCGTGACACCTGCCAGGCTGGGATATCCGTCATCCTGCCCCAAGTGGAAGTAGCCCATCATGTTACGAATCACCATGTCGTCGAGTCTCTCAGAGGTAAAGCTTCCGTTGGTGAGGCCCACGCCCAGTGTCTCATTGGACCAGTAACTGCTCGAGGCGAGATCCATGCCAGCGTTCGCGGCGTTGATGCCTGTCTTCTGCGCGCTAACATCGGCAGACACAATGCCAGGGAACCCGAGCTCGACTTTGAGATACTTGGCGAGGAGGTCCTGGCTCTCGCATGAGTATGTTCCGTTAACCTTGTTCATGGCACACATGGCGCCACCCATGCCATTGTAGACTGTGTCGTAGAAGGGCCATAGGTAGGTCTCGTGAAATGCCTTGTCGCCGATGGTAACAGTGTAAGAACCAGAGTCGTCGGAGGATGTCGTGCCATTCGTTGTAATATTTGTCGACGATGCCTGGCGAGCCGTCAAGGTTGAGTTGGTCGACCCACCAGGAGGAGATCCGCCTCCTCCCATGCCGCCGCCACCAGAGCCAGTGCTCATGCGATTGGTCTCTTGCTCGTTGAGAATGAAGTGCTTGGCACTAGCTGTCACACCAGCAGATGACATTCCCTTCACAACTGCGCCGGCGATAATTCCAGCCTGATAGCTGTCCACGCCGTACGTCTCACCGGAACGACCGCCCCAAGCTGAGCGTCCAAGAGGTTCCAGTGTAGGTCCGTAGGCCATGTTGATACCCTTTCCCTTGAACTCCTGGCCAACGCCATGTCCCTGGCCCTCTGCGGCTGCTATATCCCATGTCATGGCCATCGCCAAACCAGCGGGCCATGTCGTGACGTAGAAGTAGGTGAGAGGGTTGGTAGCGGAGTCAAGGTTGTGTAACGCGGTCCAGTTGCCTCCATCACCGCCTGCAACAATGGATATCTTCTCTTCAGTAGTGAGCGTAGATACAAGCGCTGATGCCTTATCATAGGCATTTTGCCAAGCTCCAAGCTTGACTGTTGGCATATTGGTAAGCGTTCGCTCATCATCAAGGAAGGAAGGTATATTCAAAAGACGTACCCGTGCCGGAACTCAGCAGATGCTCGGTGTAGTTGGCTGACGCATCTTCGGCCAAGGCGCCAGTCACAAAAGTGAGTATAGCTAGAGTCCAGGCGGTTGATGGGTGGTACATCTTAGCAGAAGGTGCTGTCCCACCTAAAAACCAGAACAGAAAGAGTGACTCGGGTGTGTTGAAAGGGGCAATTTCTCGACTCTACAAAACATGAACTAATGTGCCAGAGACAAAAGAATGACTTGGGCGATGACCACCAACAGATTAGCAACTGTACCCTAATCAAGATCGGAGTTCAGCTCTGTATACTTAGACAACAGTTGCCAAGACGCAACTCTTATATCAACATCTTGCTCTATGTATCGGTTTTTCTTCGGCTCAAGAAGTCACAAGACATGGGGATGTAGGCAAAAAGTGGTGCAAAGCTTACGACGAGCCATGTCCACAGCCCCGTTGGTGGCCGGATCCAGGCGCCGGGCTCGATGAGCGTGACTACCGGAGCGGCTACAAAATCCGAGGCTGCGAGCTTGTTTACTGCCCTGGTCGGAAATTGTCCGCTTGTTCCGCCGTATGAGAAAGATGAGTAGGTTGCGGGCGTCGGGCAAGACAGGTATGAGCAACCCCAATAGAGAATGACAAGGACGGCACCAGCCCATCACCAGTCACTTTGAGGTCCATTCTGACCTCCTGCAGACGCGTCCTCAGACGTCCAACATCCGCTGGTCATCCAACCTAATAGAAACGCCGAAGACACTATCACAGAAAAACCACGCATTGCGGCTTGCGACAGGGTTGAACTCCACGCCGAGAAAAGGGGCGGTGATTCACGTTTGTGACGTGGGTCGGCCCAATGCCGACACCGATGTGTAGATCCGATGAACAACCCCGGCGATGGAAACAATACGGAGTCAAGAAGTCCATTCTATTGGAGGCTTCTCCTGTCAAAACGGAATTTGTGGGCTCGAGTCTGAACTTCCTAGGTTTGCTGGATTGTGGGCGAACGCCGGACCGGCACTTGGAGGTGGGGATTCCACGTGTCGGTACCTACCGATGACCCAATGTGACCCAAAGTTGGTCAAATTGGAGATGGCAATTCGTGGTCTCATCTCTTCATATGTATAGGAAGCTTGATTTTTCCCGTCTGTTCTCAAAGTAGGGGTCGAAGCTAAATGCTGTCTGCCCACTCCCATATAGTTGTTGCTGTCAAGCCTGCAGGCTGTGCTAGGATCGTCGCTTCTCTTCCGAGCCGAAGGGCTTAGGAGAAAAGCCATGAGTCTCGGACTTTGCTACGACCCACTCATATAATGACACAGAAGGCGATCACTTGAGAAAATTGAAGTGCTTTTGATCCAAGAGAAAAACGATATCGGGAAATGTCCTGGATTCCGGTTGAACGCCCGACTTAACTCTTTCATCCAGACGACGAATATGGGGGCCAATTACGGAGCGAGTAAGTAAGTAGCTCCAATCCGTCTGCCTTCCACGGCCGGCCCTTTAGTTCCTGATAAGACGGGCGGTCCAACAACATTCGCTTTTACTTATCTTGTCGAGCGGTACTACATGTAGTAATTCACACGGATAACGAATATTTGGTCATGTCGAAAGGCTGCTAGATTTGAGGGAAAGGTCGGAATCTTTTGATATATAATCGATGAGCTTTGCATGAAATTTGAGCTAGAGTTGATTAAGGTACAAAGACTTCATTGATAGCTGACCAAAACCGACTACCCATGCTTACAAGTACGTCAGACACTTTAAAATTAGTCGCAAACCCCCAGAAATCGTACTCATATATCTTCGTACGCCGTCAAATGCTTCCGGTCCACTCAGTTCTACCGGAATGTCTAGCTTGTTCGAACGCAGTGTTCAGTTCTTCTCGTTGCTCATCAGTCAGCCTTGACCTGTGAAGGCCCAAGTCTCGATCTCGTAGCGTCCCTCCGCTCCGAGCAAGTAACACGGAGAGTTTCATTCTGTCAGCGCCCAGCAACGTCGTGACGAGGCAAATGTCTAACGGCGATAACCCATCAACGTTCCGCAAGTTGGGATCCGCACCGTACTTCAGAAGGAGCGATAATGTCTTTGTGTCCTTTGCGCCACCCTCAACCCTGAACCTTGAGTCGACATGATGGTGTAACGGCGTATTTCCGGCAGCATCCGTGATATTGGGGTCGACTTTCTTTTCGCAAAGAAGGAATTCCACCAGCTCTGCGTTATCGTATGCAGCTGCTTGATGGAGAGCGTGAAGCTCCGCAGCTTCGTGTGTCATCAACGAGGAGCCTGCATCTACAAGAAGCCTTGCCATGTCCACCGTCTTTCCGTGCGCTCGCATTCGACCTGTCCCTAGTAGGAAGTATAAGGCGTTGGCTCCGTGGGAGCTCACAGGGTTGTAGCCCATCGTCGTCTGCAGCGCCAGGCAGGGAAAGCTGGCGTTATATTCGTCGCAATAGTCCTCCACATATGGCAGCGAGCCATAGTTACCTGCATCCAGTCCCGGCTGCACTACTGCCCTCTTGTTGGGGCCCACGCCGGCTTTGTGGTTCAATAAAATCTCAAGGACATCTTTTCTTCCGCACAATGCCGCCCAGTGCAGTGCACTCATGTCGAGTCTTCGTGGCTCCCTCCACCAAACCTGATACTCACAATGCTCACAATACCGAAAACATTCGTTGGTCCATTGTAGCGGCATTGTGTGATCATCTGCATCTGCATTTGCGCCGTTTTCCAACGCAAGTTTCAGGGCCCGGAGGTTGCCCCTTTTCGCTGAGATTAGGAGAGCTGAAGAATGATTCTGCTCCGCATCCCTCCGATAGAGCACAGGCGTGATAAGTTCGTAAAGTGCGCGGCACGAAGCTGCCAGGTTTGCAACGTCTCGCCAAACATCAAAGCGAGGGAGCATGCAAAAGGGGCACATCTTGTCGGTCTCATATGGTAGACAAGATGACTCCCAATACTTTTCATAACCGAGAGAAACCTCCTTGGCGTACAAATCGAACAGTGCATCCACGATGCAGAGGATAATCTCAGAGGGCAGACGTCGTGCAATGCCAGGGGCATTCGGCTTAGCCAGCGCATGGTGATATCGGCGCTTTTCTTGTGCATCGCCGTAGAGCGGCACATGGCTCCATACACATGGACATCCGAATAGTGCCGGTACCTTTTCGTTGGCCGTGGCGGGAAAATCTAGTCTGAAGATCAGCTACGTTCCGACGATGCCGGTGGGCGCGGTGAGGATTGCGCAGAGGCTGACTTACGTGAGTGGGCCATTCTGAACTCAGGCACTACAAGCCAAGCATGGAACAAGTATAAAGACAAGTGTTCTATAGCAACGAGTTCTATTATATCGCAACTTAATGACGAGCGTCGTGATAACGAGTGTGGTGAAGAAGAAAATCAACGCTTACAGAAGTGAGAATGAAAGAATTCCACCATCTTCTGACCGGAATTGCCATCACCATCACCGAGAGTCATTGACGGAAATTTTTTCGTCTCAGTTGCCGACCCCTATTGTCAAATCTCCAGGGTACGCCTGCATGTCATTGCAAAAGCGTTGGGCAATTCTAGAAACCGTGTCATTTGGCTGTCAGAGTTCAAGGGACGTTCCTTGTTCAATGCGTGGTGCAATGCTGCTTACTCATAAACTCTCGAATCATTGCATGAACGGTCCGGAGTGAACTCGGAGGCAACGGTTAGTAACTGCAATTTCAAACACGACGATTGATTCTATGTCGTCACTAAAGGGCCTCTTGGCCATTTCGGAAGAAATGACGAGCCACTCACATTAGAATGAACAGCAAGTAACATGGTTGCGTAACAATTTAAGTCAAACCCCCCACTTCCTGGCACCCCCCTGTTTCTGGCACCCACAAAAACGATGGGATCACAACCCAACCTCCTCATTACTATTAACTATTGATCCTCAACCACACCCACTACAATACAACTGCCAGCCTCACTAGGGCATTCAGAGTCGCTGGATTCAGCCGTAATAACCTCCTTTTCACCCGCTTCGATTTGAGCCCGATGGATATCCCTGATGTTCGCAAACTTCGTGTTGGGATCGATCTGAACAGTCTTCCTCTTCCTAACTGCAGCGTTGGTAACTTGAGCCCTCAGGTGAGCCAGCTGCTGCTGGGCAGCTGCCAGTTGCCAGGCCTGCTCTGTGAAGCCTTTTTTCACCTTCCTGAACAGCAGCCGTTGAGTGCTGGTATCATTGTCGAGTTGGGTGTATAAGTGCAGTTGACCGCTGAGCTCTGCCAGCTTCCTGGGTGTCGACCAGACCACTGCAGAGGAAGCAGAATCCCATGGCTCAACAGGGGTAGTTTGTTGACCATTATGGCATCGCTTTTTGCCCCGACTGGTTGGTTTGGGTGTGGTGGGCTTAGCAGAAGGCTCAGGTAATACCATAGGGTTCATCAGGGCTTAACCATCGCTACAGGGTGTAGACCAGTCCACTTCCAACCACTTCTGATGTTCGAGACTGATAGACCAGCAAGTCGAGCCTTCTGGTAACAGTCCAGGAAGTTCCTTTTACCTATAATGGTAGAGTCGTTCCATTGAGACAAGTAACCGAGCTCCTTCCGATAGGCTGACTTAACAGGGCTGAAGACAGACTGGTCAAGTGGCTGGAGGACATGAGAGGAGTGTGGTGGTAAGAACAGTAAATGGATATTGTTAATATAGCAATTCCACATGAAGTCTGTCGTCGTATGACTCCATGCCCATCCACAATCAACAGTCGAGCCTCGCCCTCAGCCTCGGGCATAGTCTGTGGGATAAACACCTTCTCTAACCATTCAATGGCAGTTAAGTCTGTAGTCCAGCCATTATCTGTTGCTGTAAACTCCCACCCATCGTATGGAACCAGATGTAATGGAAACCACTGTTGTTGGACCGTCTTCCCTTGAAAATGATAAGAGGACGAAGTGCCCTACCCAAGGCTGAGATACACTCAATGATAGAGACCCATGCCCTCGACCCAGGTTGTTTCTTGCGAACAGACGTCGTCTCAGCCATGCCCAGCACTAACCCAGCTAGCCCTGACCCTCGAGGATGCCAGTCTCATCCATATTATATCTGTTGGCTGGTTTGATGTCCTTGATCTCAGGGATAAAGGAACTTAAACCAGTTCCTAATGACCTCAGTAGATGCCCCATTAACGCGTCTAGAATCGATGGAACGACTTCTCTGAACCTTAATGATAGGGTTCCTTCTCACGAAGGCATAGATCCAGCCTTTCCTAATGGTTTGGTATCCCCAGCAGCAGCCAGAACTCGCTCTGCGAATTCCTTCACCTGTTGGTGCGTTGGTGCGAGGCCCAGCGAAGCCTGAATGCGAACCCATTGTGCCAGCTTACTCTCCTGGTCAGGAGACAGCCTCTGCCAGTCAGCAAAAGCCACTTTCCTAGTCTGACCACCTTGGAGACGTAGTTCGTGGTATCCCATACTCCAATGAGGCTCTCTTTTGACTCTTGCCGTTTGAGATGTCCTCGAGAGCCTGACGAAGCTGATCTTCGGTATATTGAGGCATTAGATATAGAAGAAGGTATGTGCAAAAAATGAGCCCATTTGGACTCGAATTGAAAATGTTGTGATAAAAGGAGGTTGGGGGTGGGCATTGCGTTGTGGTGGATTTTCGCGTTTTTGTGGGTGCCAGAAACAGGGGGGTGCCGGGAAGTGGGGGGTTTGACTTATTGCTCAGAATCTATCCATTGCCTCGGTGAGAATATCACATCCACCACAGTTCTCAACGATAATTGAGATTTCCAAGACCCGATTAGGTTCTATGATTTAGATCGAATACTTCAAAAACCGCGCCAATTCGGGTGTCCAGCTGCGCTTAGGGTCATCGAGGGCTAAGCCAAGTCCGTGACCTCCCTCCGGGATGATGAGCACTTGCGTTGGCCGCTTGTAGACTGCCATGGCCTCCGCAAACATGAGCGTGTTCTGAACGGGAACAGTGGTGTCACTGAAAGTATGGAACAGGAAGGTTGGCGGGGTGGTCGCAGAGACACGGTTCTGCGCCGACAGCTCGTGCTGCAACCCCGCGCTCGCGTTGGCGCCAATGAGGTTGTCTCGCGAGCCTTTGTGCGTATAGTTTCCCTCAAGGGTGATGACGGGGTACGCGAGGATGCCAAAGTCAAGACCAGCCTCCGGATTGGTGAGTGTTACGGCAGAGAGATGGCCGCCTGCCGAGAAGCCCCAAATGCCGAGCTTGGTGGTGCGGTTCTGCTCTCTGATGTACTCGAGGGCGTCTAGTGCCTCGTTTTGTGGTGTTGGGTAGAGCGGCGCCGTTGCGTTTGAAATAGTACTGTAGTCAAGAACCCAAGCGTCGATGCCGAGCTTGTTCAGGAACCCCGCAGGAATGTAGCCCTCCTTTGATATGGAAACGCGAGCATATCCGCCTCCGGGACAAACCAGAACTCCGGTACCAGTCGAATTCTCTGCCGGGAAGTATGTGATTTGCGATGTTTTGAGTCTACAGAGTTTGTTAGAACGAAGTAGTTGTCGACGTATTCTCCGATGCTCTTACCTCTTCACGACTCTATGGGCATCGAGGGATCCATCGCTGTTGACCTCCGTCGACATTACGACTGCACTACCGAGGAGAAACCCCCAGGCCAATGCTAAAACAGACTTCATATTGTTTTTTAGCTGCGCCAAGAACAGTGTATAATCAGGGATTGTGCGTCTCGGCTCACTTTACTACAATGATCGTTCAGCCCAGGAACGGTCGAACAGTTGAGTCTCTAGATATATATCAACAACTACCCCGGGTACCCCGCGCAATGCGGTGTCGACGTTCATACCTACCGACCTATGAACAGCTACTCCGGTTGTCCGGCCCCCATGTTTTTAATTGAATGCTGCACCTCGTCATATCAAAAACCGAAAGACTGTTACCTCACATGAACCTTGGTGAAATCCACCAATGGGAGCTCGGCACTAGTCAACTAGAGCACATCGTCATCGGCGCGCTAGAGCATTCTTCTCAGAGTGGAATCTCTCGCGGTTATCCCAAGTTAAGGTTGTGGGTCAAAAGCTGGGGTTCGCGCGAAGTAACAACGATCCGATAACTTCTCCCAATACATTTCGGCGCGCCTACCAAGCCTCAGGACGAGGTATTCATGAGGAGATGTCAGTGCTATCAACGCGAATGTCGAAACCACTAACAGGCGGCCACCTGTGAACTATGCTCAATTGTGAAGAAGGAACGTTAGACACCCACTTTGATTGCGATACCGATATTTCGGCATTACGTGGCTTGAATGAAAGCCGTTATGCTCCTGTAAGGACACATGAGATTCGGTGTGACTAGGTCTTTGAGCCAGCTATGGTCTATGATCAAAACCTCCGTCCAAAAGCTCACGTAGTTGACCGGGCGGCTGTGGACCACAATATGTTCAGGAAATCTTGCTATGCTTGGTTATGTTGCTTTGGATACATCTTTGAGAAAGAGTAATGCTAATATGTCAAATCCCTCATGATGAATAACATGTGAAGAGAAAGTGTCGCTCAGGTACATATAACTACATGTACTGATCAGTGCAAAGATCAAATGCCTCACTGAGACAGCAGACCCAAGCCAGTGTGCAAGTCCCTAATCATACGCTTGTGAGGGGCCTCAGCCGCGCCACCTGTGGTAAGCACAGTTGCGTTTCTAATCATCTCGACCACCTTGAGGATGTCCTCTTGTGTAACAGCATTCTCCTTCTTAACCCAGCCCAACTCAGCAGGAAGGCGCTCGTTTTCTGCATATCATATATTAGTCTATAGATGTTCCAAGGAGCTATGCTTGATGTGTCTCTCACGGAAGAAATATTCGACCAGTGTCTTGTTGACGGTTCCGGCGGTCATATCGCCAAAGACAATGATGGGGGCAGCGACCTCGCCAAGACTGAAGTTCTCCACAGTTGCAGTGAAGGTGTAGTTGGGGTTGAAAGCTCTTGAGGTGACCTGTCGTGCCAACTTGCTGTTGGCAAGCTGTTGCGCATCTAGGGTATCCTTTGTCCAGTAGGCTCTCGACTCGTCAAAGATGGATTGGTTGAAGACATGATTGTTGCCAAAGGCGGCATCGGTGCGACTGTAGATAAGTTGTTAGTGTAGTCCAAGTCTCAATATACTCGTCGCTCCATAGCTCGAACAGGAAGAATCAAAGCCTGGATGAGTCGCGACAATGTTCTCCTCCAGACGGGCAGAGTTCAAACTTACCTCAAGCTAGCATCGTGCTCTAGGACATTGTGAACGTTGAGTTGGTCCCTGATACATGTTGGATTAGTGGTGCGTTGGGCCAAGAGTTCACAAGGGCTTCTTACAGAGTGAAGAATGTGGCATTGGGTTCTGGGTTGGCAATAAGGGCCATGTTAAACATCAGGGTTCCAAGATCGGTCCCGAAGTTGAGACCATCCTGAAGGCCTTTCACAACAACATCCTTCGTCAGGTTCTTGCCGTCGTGGGAGATGAAGCCGTGGTTGGCCAAAGTGTTCATCATTGGGCATGGACCACGGACTACATTATCAGTACTTGAAGCTCAGGCTTGGTTCGCCAGGATAGTGTACTCACAGTCATCAGGTCCAGCAGGAGCCCACTCAGTGGGAGAAGCTCTGCGGAAGTGAGGGTTGGCCAAGTGAGCAGCAGCCAGGTGAGGATTGGCTGAGGCCACGCCGAAAGCAGCAGCGATGAAGGTGAAAGACTGCTTCATTTTGAGTTGCTAGAGATTGGTGTCAAGTTGAGGAGCTAAGAAACGAATGAAAGATGAGATGATTGCTGCCTGTTGCCAACTTTCTTCCGACGAACCCTTCTCACGGTCTCATATTTATATTCAATAACGCCGAGAGCTCATTGTACGTACATCTCCCGCCCCCTATATTCGTTTTCGTTTTATCCAGAGGCGGCCACACATCATGACGGCCAGCTCTCTCCTCTCACCGGGGCTATGTCGTTTCCCCGTCCATTCGCCCCTGATTCAGAATCATGCCAACATATCGATGCCCGCAGATCGTCCCGTCCGAACATTTCGGTATCGCTCCAAACTCCCCATCGACAACTCCACGGGAAATTTTGAGAGCCAATCAGAGATTGTATGATGACCATTTGGCATGGTTGTCTTTGCGGAGGTGGTGGGTGGTTGCAGGCATAAGTGCATCTATTCCCAGTGAAACGCGGTGCCGCTCAGGCGTTGCCGAGCCAGCCTATACGCGGAGACAGCTTTACGATACGTCATGGCGACCTACTACAGTGCACAACACCAAACATAAAGACGTTCAAATACGCGGAGTCTGGAAACGAACTACGAAATCTCAACAAAGATACCACGACACCGCCCATTGAGAGAGTCCAGCCAAGCGGTCAACCACGTTGCACGTCAGGGCCCGTCTGAAACAACCTGCTCCCGTCTACGACATTACAGCCAAGCTAATGGCCGTAAGAAGCTTACATTAAAGATCACGGCTATGTAGGCCAAGCATCAATACGCCGTACGTATACAGAGAGCCAATCATAGCCGCCAAGTTTCAAATCCACTTCCACGTATTCACGTGGATCGACAAGACCCCCGTCCACCTTTAATGTTATTTTCCGGAAGTATCGATATACCGCCAAAGTCCGATAACTCCCCTTCACTAAGAGGTTGCCATTGGACTTCATATGTCGTTCAAAACAATGAAGAGGCTAAGCTTCTTAGCTAAAGCATCACATCGCCCCCAGCTTCCGGTACTTCAATCAATCTGCAGCCCTAAAGTATCGCGCGATCCTCATAAACCTGGATCCGGCAAGCATTCCGTCGTCAACCTCTGACGTCCTCGACAAGACCTTAACCCCGTGTTTGAACCATTCAACGCCCTCCGCCTCCCACGAGTGGCACCAAGAAGGCTGAGCCTAGTCCCTTCCATGAGCACTGATTCGCCAGCGTGTATCTCACGGGTACCGCATTCGAGGCCCACCGACTTCATGCGGTTCGAAGCAAGGCTGAGTTAGGAGGGGCGGCGGACAGTTCTGAATCTTTCCCAAACTTCGGGCTCGGTTTCGGCGTCGGTTTCGGCGACTATCTCGGCCAACGGCCCCCGAGTGCGCCTTGATACGGAGTTCTGCCGTCTCCTCGCGACGACAATAACAACGGACTACTCCGCCCCTCATCCGTCCCGGGAGAGTAGACACGGGGGAGGTTCGCCTTTGATGACAACGAAGCCACCGCCGCCCATGTATCTGTCTTGTCGGATACCCGGGACGAGATACATTACTCCTTCGACTTTGGTCAGCGGACTTTAGACATAGAGCTCTTGCTAATGCCGTGGTTAGTCAGGGGACGTCAGAGATTCGGATAGTCTGCCGCAGCATTCAAAGCCAACTCCGCCATCGTTGACAGTAGGTCAGGTTGGACTAGTAGAAGGCATCTACGGACCGACAACCCAGCGTCTGGACAGCAGAGTGTGCCCCCGATAACGAAACTCCCGAGACCGGCCCTTGCGAAGACGAGTCGACCGTGAGGCTCGACGTAGCGTGAGGACTTCCGCAAGCCATCCAACGCTATAC